TTCTCGAAGCTTGCTAGGCACAGAAATCAAATAAGTTTAAAGGTATAAAATTGCCAAAAGATGGAATCACTCTTATTTCGAGTAAGAGTAGTTTTTAGGAAAATTTTCCAATTTATGCATAGTTGAAGAATGGCTTGGCTAAAATTATCATTAAAATATGACCAAGAAGGTGTATCACAGGCTAATCTGTTACTAAAGCATTCTATGATTGAACAGGTATAAAAACTAAATATAAAAATACATAATTTCTTGACAAATTTCTCTTCATAAATCACTCAAAAAGGCCCTTCATTCTGAAGCGTTAGAAACCTGCTTGCACTTGGCTTGGATAACAGTGCTGTAAAATGTAGTTTACAATCTATCATATAACGAACATTTCTAGTTCCAGTGAAAACTAGTTTTATAGGAAAGTTGGAGCAATAGTAGCCCTATATTGGCTTAACCAAGTTGTGAACCGTGTGAAACAAATAAGCAACGCCCTTAGATTCGTTATGAGAGAAAGCATTAAATCCGGATCATTTCACAATCACACCAATATTATGACCTCAAAATGAGGCGTATATCCTGTAGTCGACCATCTCATATAGTAAACCCATAAATTTGTATGTATTTAGGCTAAGGGCATCGGTATATATACATTTATCCAGAATCATATAATTTAACTGTGTTCTTTATGCCTCAATTAGTCACCAGAGCCACGGTTACATAGTTTTTGTCGCCTAGCCCATACATCACAATTTTCAAGTAACATAATTATGATAGAAACTATTTTTTGCCGAATAAATTATGTACGAGACAATAGTTTGTTAGAAAAAAAAATGTCGTAAGCTTAATTAGAATATTACGCAAGGGTTTGCCTGAAAGTTCAACTTACCACGAGATTTCCCAGCACCATAGTCAGTAGAAAGAAGATGATGCAAATCCAGCCATTAACCTGAAGGCAGTCCCACATTGACTCGATCCATTCACCACAAAGAACTCGAAAGACAATCATGAAGGCGTGTGGAAAGTCGCAAAAATTCCACCTCGGAACTCGACCTGCGCGGTCTGGAAATCGTGTCCTATTTGCGAAGTGCTGGTAGTTCTCGCCAAATAACGACATACCAACCACAGCAAACACAAAGATGCAAATGGCTAACACAAGTGTTAGGTTTCCAAGGGCACCCAGAGTCTTGCCGATGATGGCGAAAAGCAGATTCATCGTTTGCCAAGACTTGGCCAGTTTAAATACGCGGAGCTACCAATTGAGAAAAATAGGAGTTTTAGAGTGGTTTCCGATGAATCATACCTGCTATGCATTTATGGTCCTTATTTTTATCATGCTTCTTCCTATGAATACTAATTCCAGATCCACTTATTCCTTGTTTCTAAGTCACAGGCATTAATGTGATTGAATGAACTAATAAAAATGGCGTAAACAAAGTTGTAATGTTATGATACAGGCTCTCCGCAAAGTCAATGCTAGCTTACTTGCATCCGGCTAGTGTGATTAGCGACAATCAAAATACAAAGAAGGAAAATAAGCTAAAATATTTTATTATGAAAGTAGATTTAGCATTTTTTGCTTCCTCTAAGGAGGCCTCTTGATGAATAGAATCACTCATTTCAGGCTATACAAAAAAATATATTTTGCATCTTTCAAAATTGAGGACCATTTGCGTGGGTTATGCGCATTATGG